ATGCTGGCACTGTCAGCATCGCAGCCAATACCATGGCAAGAATCTAATCCAGCTAGCAATCCAGTAAGAAAACAAGCATCGTGTGCTGCTGGCTTTACACTAAGCATTCTAGTTTCACCCTGGTATTATTATATCTAGCTTGTATATCAATAGTTACCGATTGTCTTACATATGTTTTATTTTGACTGATTCCACTAACTGGAACGTTTACTGACTTACAATCTATGTGTAGTTTGTTGACTAACGCCTTCGTAATTAAATTGGATTGTGATCCAGGATCTAGAAGAGCTCTACAAAGATATCGCTTTCTATTGGCATCAAAAACATATACCAGCGCCGTTGACAACAATACATGATGCGACTTTTTTGCACAATGAGTGGAGACTATTATTTGCATTGTCCTTACTTGTTTCTTCGTTTTCCTTCTGATTGTCTACATGGAGGAGTGAGTTATGCTTGGCTTGGCAAATCTTACAGCCGGAAGATCTACATTCCTTACTCCAATGACCTTTCCGCAAACAGTTCAAGCAAAGCTTCAAGCTCCTTATTTCCTTGATACGCGATAGTATCGGTAGCTTCAATAGTTTTTCACAGCTAAATATATGGTGGTGACTTGTACAGTATTCACATCCATTGTTACTAGTAGAAGCTAATAACAGCGATTTTTTGGACCTTTTCTCACTATGTTTACGTGCTTCAGTGCCTGATTTTTCCTTTTCTACCATTTCAAGCATATGGTACCTTCCTGTCAGGAACTCAAGCAGCTCGTCGATCTTCGGCAATTCGTTTTGTCCTTTGGAACTAATATGGGTTTCCCATTCCTTGTGTGTGTAATAATCCAACTTGTTTGCTGCTACAAATATTAGGACTGCATCCCATTTATCTACGGGCAGTTTCAATGTGGCTAATGCCTTAATGTATGTTCTTACGTGATTTACGAATTGCCTGATGGCTTGTTTATTACATTTAACTATTGGCATTGTTTCGAATAGTTCCTTTAAATGTTTATTGATGATAAGTCTTCAATTCTCGTAGTGATTATCTAACAATTCCCACGCTGTGCGATAATTTTCAGCCGTGGTTTCCAATCCTATGAATTGTAGTGCTTCATCTTTCAACGTTCCTCTTAGATACTGTAACTTCTGAACTTCTGATAGCGTGGTGTCTTTGTCTATTAGTGAAAGAAAGGCATCCTTAAACTGCATCCACTTACTGTATTGCCCATTGAACGTCGGCAATGTGATTGTTGGTAACTTCACACTGGATTTCACCGTCAGGTTCCTTCCCGCTGCTGCCACCATCGCAGAGTTGTTTCCAGGATTGGATTGTGCTATTCTTCTTTTAGCCCTCGCTACTAGCTTAAAATAATTATCTTCGAATTCTATTTCTTCATTATTTTCTTCTTGTTCTATTTGCTCTAATTGCGCCTGCTCTTCTTCTCCAGAAAGTCCTTGCGCGCGTGTCTCCTTTATTGCATATTGAATGTTATGAAATTTATCCCAGATTTCTGTTAACTTGTTGAGCCTCTCACTAATTTCCTGATCATCAGCTTCCCTTGTCTCAAGAACATTACTGAATCGTGTTAATTGCACCTTAAACTGACCACGCTTAACCTTCAAATTTCTGAGTTCCGCCAATGTGTGTAGCAACTATCACCATTTGCTATTACTATGTAAGGAAAGATTGAGGTTAGGAATAAGGAAACTCACTTACGTGCCTTTGAATGCTCTTTGTGCTGCCTGCTTATCACTACTGCCTGTTCGACTGTGATTTCTTCTCACATCTGCCTCTGATGCGCTCAATAATGCTTTAGAATCGCTTTTACGTGTAGCAACGTTTGCCGCTTACTATTACAACTGCCTTGTCTTTGTCACTAATAATCCGGCTCGAAGGACCATTTTGTTGTGGACTTGTGAAATTTGCTGATTAGACTCGTCTTACTGTGATTGAGTTTATTAGTGTACAAAAACATTACAACGGTATGACATTATCTTGCTCGAGTATACGTTCCTTTCTATGGCGTTACAAAAAATTAACAGTTCGTTCGTCTTCTCTTCTACGATCACCACTTTCTATCTCGATCGATACGAGTTATCGAGCGTTGCTCCCTCTGGTAACCTGGGTATTCTTCAAACACTCGATCGATATAGCCCTAGGCGTCTTAATTCCCACTAGACTATAATGCTCTAGGGAACTCATAAAATAAAGTTTATGTTATAACCAAATCTGAAAATAAAATAAATTTAGAAAGCGCATTGACTCCGTTACACAGGGTGTCCCACAACTCTCCTGACAAATATCATGGATAGGTAGAGCGGATTAAACTGAGATAAAAATATCCAAATTCGCCCGGCCCACCGCCAAATGTAAGCGCGCGGCTCGATAGGACCATATATGTAATACTACTATATGGCTAATGGGGCGTGGTTTGCGGTCGAAACACTACGGTGCCGCCAATGCTAATTCTGTCCATGATAAAAAGACAAGGGTATGCTCATGCGCATGACCAATCAGATTTTTGTCCTTGCTTACGTCACAACGAGTGGCTTACGCCACTGTTCAGCAATTTCAGATTGTTTTGGAAAGGTAAAATATTTAATTTTACTTCCCTCAGTTTTTTTTGTTTTTTTCATATAATTGCCGCATCCTTTCACTATGCAGGTCATCGTGAAAATATTTTTAACATTAACTTCTACCGATGACAACGTGCACTACGCCATGGACGCCATGATAAATTACGACCGATAACCACCGATTGCACCCGAATCAGAACCGACCAATCAACGCGTACCCGAATATGACGTAGGTAAGGACATGCGCAAGCTGAACGAGTTTTAGACAATTGATGAGCATACCCTTGTATTTTTATCATGATTCTGTCCTTATCATGTTCAGTCTGTTGTAACGCGCAGGCATCAATGTCGCGCGATAAGTGTCACATGTGATATATTGCAGGTTATTACAGTCAGTTATAAGTATTGTCAGGTCAGCCTTTCAATTAAAAAATGGTGAGGTATTGTTATTTATGCAATAAGAAACAAACAAAAAATGGAAATATTTGCCTACACAAGTAAGTTTATAGTTAGTTTATAGGTTAGCTAGGTTAGGAATTTCACATTTCACCCACTGATTACCAATGGCATACTTGGCACTGATATCAGTGATTATCCACTGGTTCAGATTTAGAGAGTAATAAACTATTGCTAACATCTTGTTTTGTATTAAATACAAAGTAACTAATTTTGCTTAATAAAGCTCTTGAATTTAACGCGGCGCCTGCGCATTTGAACGATTGAACATCTACTATCCTTCTATGTTTCTTCTTGTCGCACTCATATAAACCACGCCCCATTAGCCATATAGTAGTATTACATATATGGATAGGACGGAGGACCGCCCAGCGCGGCGCGCCGCGCGCTAGGCACGCGTTGTTTATAACAAGCAGCAATGGTCGTCGCTAGACATGAGTCGCGAATAGCGTCGAATTTCCAGTTATAATTATTCTTTGAGCTATGATCGTTCTCTGTTCATATCAAAACGAAATCTTCGTACGAAAAATTTATTTTTGCATGCACGTATGTTCGGAAACATATTAGAAATTAATATCTCGGTTACGAAAATTAAGAAAATTGAGAACTCTTTCCAAGAATACAGTTTATAGTTCCCTCTAAAGTGAACTTTCGTCGCGCTAGTCTCCGTGTTTTAAATTGTGAATTATTTCCTGACTATTTGTATCATAACAAAATTATTTACGACATAGAAAAATTGTTTGCGTGCATTTTCTGTGTGCGTGAACGTGCGCACAGAAAAATAGCAATTCTACAAAGTCAAAGCAGTTACTTAATATCTCTTCTTTTAGGAAGTAATCTTTAACAAAGAATATTTATTTTGATAATAATCCTAAAATGTACATATGGCAAGCGTTTTACTTTTTAATAGCATAAAAGAAATTTAGTCTAATGTGTTGAATTCTTAAAAAATTACGATTTTTAATAATGAATTAAAATTATGTCGTAACATAATAATATTTCCATGAATTGAAATTATGTCAAAGCATAATAATCGAAATACGGAATTTTTATTATGTCGCGACATAATATTAACTCGGCGAATTAACATTATGTCGCGACATAATAAAAATTCCGTATTTCGATTATTATGCTTTGACATAATTTCAATTTGACATAATCCAATGTTACGATTACCTTACTGATTACGTTTTATAGGCCTTCTACAATAAGCCGCAAGTCAGAA